TCTCTCTCTCTCTCTCTCTCTCTCTCTCTCGCTCTCTCACTCTCTCTCTCGCTCTCTCACTCACTCACTCACTCCCCCATACTTACAATCTTATAAAACTTGGTCACGTGAACGGTAAACAAGAACTGATAGGACTGTGTCGGTGCCAACGTGTGGCCCGACTTCACCATAAGCTGCGATACGTGCGACCAAAACAACTCCCCGTTGTCTTCAAACGGACCCAACGTTTTAACCGTTTGGTCAATACAGCGGCATAAATGGGTAAAGACTAAAAAATCGTCCGGGGTGATTTTGGCACACATTGCGTACAGTTCGTGTAAATCATTATTAGCCGCCAAACAGAGGGTGGGCGGTGAGCAGACAGGAGAATTCACAATCACGTTGGTAGCCGCAGTGATTGGTGTCGATGCAAACACAGGGTAAGCCACGACAGGCGCGGGTTGTCCACCGGTAGCTCCAATGTGCTCCAGGTCATCATCGATGTAGGCCTCGCTTGTCCGACACCTGTGCGCAAACAATTCACGCAAACGTGTGATTTCACGGCACTCGGCGTCCGACACCACACACTCCGGGCTAAACACGTGTAGCGCATAAAACACGGAAAACGCTATGCCGGCCCTCTCGACACTTGGGCAACACTCCAATGCCTGAGTGATGCAAAATGAATATTAAATTAACATTCTATAAATTATAATTGTTTAATTTCATGTACAATTTTTTGTGTACCTTTTTATATAAGTCCAGAGCGTTTTGCACATAGTTTTGGCACCGTTTCGGGTCAAACACCACATCGGGTTTATTGAGAGCCTTAATACGGGGCATATTATTGGCCACACGTGCCCACTCGGTCTCAGTCATAGGCCTACCATCGGTGGATCGGTGTTTGTCCACCAATTGTAACAGTCGATTGAGGGCCAGGCGATTAACTGGCCTTATATGCGCGACTCTAAGCCATACGCTCCGCACGTTAACTACGGTTGACATGTATGGCAAGTGCGGGCACTTTGTGTTTACAATAAACACCGGTCCCGTCACCGGTAGTCCCAAATAGTCAATCGGGTTCTGTTCACTAGTTGTGGAGGTTATGGACGCATACTTGGGCTGAATGATGTCCAAAACTGGGGGCTCAAGTGGTGTATTGTCCATTAATTGGCGACCTGTTTGTGTACTAATTGTGTGCTCAGCGAGATCATTTTTGCCGGTAAATTCTCGCCGCAATTCGTTTAGTTCGCCAAAAGCGTCGGCAGTCATGAGAAAATAGGGTACAAATGAGTGCATTGTGTTGAACAGGGGGTAAACAATGGCCGCCGTCTCCCGGTTCGGACAGTTCGCCAAACACTAGTAGCAAAAAATAATTTATCATAATTTAACACAGTAAATATTGGTCATGATAAAATTATAAAATAAACCTTTTTATACAAATCCAACGCATTGTAAAAGTAATTCAAACACTTTGCGTAATCCCAACCATCGAAACCACTTTTGGCCATTTGTCTGACAATGACGTCCGGATCGCTGGCCGACGGCCTGGCGCTCAGTATCTGTGCTAACCGTACGACCGCCCGGTACTCGTCAACACAAAACCTAATTCTAATCACCCATACTGTGCCCACACATGCTGTAGATGTAATGTATGCCATGTGTGGGGAACTGCCGGTTGTGGCAAATGTTTCCGCATTGAGTTCAACGTCCAGATAGTTGTTGGGCGCCGAGGGGTGAGAGCCCGGCGCTAATGGCAAGGGTATTGATGTGACCAAAGGCGTGGTTACAGTTACAGGTGTATCAATTTGTTGCCCTGTATTAAATTGTTCAGCAACCACCGTCTCATCGCCCACACCATCACTACCACCAGCACCGGTACGGGTGGACAGCCCTAGTGTTTGTTTCACATAATACCCGGTGTTTGCGATAATTTTAGTGAATGAAAACCGGGATTTCTTAGAGCCCATGGCTTTGGTAACGCTAGAGTTGGCTACGGGTGCGATGGACTGATAGGCGTTGTCATTCCTGTCCACCGCTTTAATACCATTCTCGGCGTTAAACTGTTTGAACACATTTTCGGGTAATTTTTGTGGTAATTTTGGCGGCGATGGAGGTGTTCGTGATTGGGGTGCCGGTGCCGGCAGAGTATCATAACTACTGTCACTATTAGTACAAACACTTTGAGCACTACTGTCACCGGCAATCGAGTCCTCTCTGTCCTCACATTTATTGCTATAGTTTTCACTTAAGTTGAGCTCATTTTTCTCGTACTGTATTTTATGACTGTATTTGTGGCCAACATTTGAGTCCCGATTAATGCCTAAACCTATGGACTCGTTGTTCACAGTCTTCGGCCGCACCCGTAGTCGCGACAAGTTATCAATCACATGATTATCACTCGTTATAATACAGTATTCATTGAAATCAGTGTCAAATACCTGAATAATTTAAAGTTTTAAATAAGTAATTGATGTGTAGTACACTATACAGGTGTACACAATAGATGTGTTTGAATGCATACCTCGAAGACATGGGTATTGGATGTGATGTTGTGTTTGATTTGTTTGCGGATCTCATTGTAGACCTGATTGAAGGGCAACACAACCGCACTATCCGTACGATCGATACGAATGCTATAGTTTTCACATCCATTCAAATTGACCAATACTTTCATTATTATCTCATTTAGTCTTCACTTTTGTGGTTCACAATAAACAGCACTTCATTATAACCGTTGCATAACATAAAAATAATAAAAATAAAAATTACATGATGCTGTTTTGACAACTGGTTTACAGTTTATATGACTTTTAAAACTTATCAATATTTGCTAATAGACATGCGTTTAAATATACATGTCTATTATAAATGTACTTTATATTCAGTACAGGTACAGTGTTTTAATCACGCAAGTTTTTACCGGTACATTTTATTATGTAAGCACTTACTGTAATATTTTTTTATAAGGAATTTATAATTTTGTATTAATATCCAATTTATAAATTATATATGTACCTAGTTTATTATCCAGTTTAATATTTTTATACTAGTCACTGTAATTAACATTCACAATTATTTAAAAATTAGTAGTTTTAGGAATTTTAACACAGTATTTAATACTGATATTTATTAAACTAATAATATTTATTACATATTTATTAATTAACAATTAATTAAAACGTTAATATAAAGTTAATGCAAATTGTCTTACAAAATAATTATAATCTTTAATAATAACTAGATTTAATTAAATTAAGTATTAGTTGGTCAATAAGTGAACGCATCGCGTAATACTTTAATTCTTTCGTATAATTTCTGTGATAACGATTGACTCAAATCCATGTCATGTATAACCGAGAAATACGGGTACACTTTAACCGCTGCCGTATAGTTTGGCAAATACTTCAACGCCTATTAAATTATCAATAAAATCATTAACAAGTACTCTCTCTCTCTCTCTCTCTCTCTCTCTCTCTCTCTCTCTCTCTCNNNCTCTCTCTCTCTCTCTCTCTCTCTCTCTCTCTCTCTCTCTCTCTCTCTCTCTCTCTCTCTCTCTCCATACTTACAATCTTATAAAACTTGGTCACGTGAACGGTAAACAAAAACTGATATGACTTATTCGGGGTCAATGTGTGGCCCGACTCCAGCATTAGCTGCGATACGTGCGACCAAAACAACTTCTGGTTCTCTTCAAAGGGACTCAACATTTGAATCGCTTCATCAACACAGCGGCACAGGTGGCTAAAAACGAGTAAATCTCTGTGGGTGATTTTAGCACACATTACGTATAAGTCGTGTACATCGTTTCTACCCGCCAGAGTAAGGTTGGGTGGGTAGACAGGGGACGTCACAATCACCTTAGTCGACATAGTGATAGGCCTGAGCTGGGAATCCATAGGCGGTCTATAGGTCGGGCCAGTGACTGACGGGACCGGCAGTGCAGACGTCGTGGACAATAATGTTGCAAATGTTTTATGGCCTACGGGTGCGATGTCCGAGACATTTGTCTGAACGGGTGGTGCACTGGCTGTGGCCGCTGGTAATGCAAACGGTGCTATAATTGTCGGGTCACCACTCAGTTTACTGCATACCAGTGCTGTGTTAGGGATATTACTGGTAAATGTGTTGACCGGTGCCGTATCACAAGACACCGGGCGCTGGTCCTCGATATAAGTGCCACATGTCCTACACGTGTTCGCAAACAATTCTCGCAAACGTTTAATTTCACGGCACTCGGCGTCCGACACAACTGACTCCGGGTTAAACTCGTGTAAAGTATAAAACATGGGAAACGCAATACCGGCCCTATCCATGTTTGGGCACACCTCCAGTGTCTGCAAAAATAAAAATTACCATGGTTATTTAACATTGGTATAAAAATATTTTATAATAGTATTACCTTTTTATATAAGTCGAGTGCGTTTTGCACATAGTTTTGGCACAGTTTCGGGTCAAACACTACATCGGGTTTATTGTGATCACCGACTCGGGGCATAGCAATAGCCACCCATTCCCATTGGGACTCAGTCATAGGGCTACCATCGGTGGGCCGGTGTTTGTCAACCAATCGTAACAGTCGGTTGAGAGCCAAGTGGTTGGCGGCCCCAAAGTGTCCGGTTCTAAACCACACGCCTTTTACTTTAACAATAGCTGTCTTGTATGGCAAGTGCGGGGAACTGGTGTTTGTCACGAAGTTTCTGCCCGTCACCGGTAGACACAAGTAGTCAATCGGGTTTTGCTCACTACTACCGGTCGGTATGGGGTCTTCAGGGGCTACGGTATGGGCACCAGTGGCTGTTGAAGAAGTTGGTAGAGGTGCGACGGTAGGGGTGGTGATTGTGGTGACACGTTGGCCGCATTTCTTGTCAAACAATCGCTTTAGTTCATTGAGTTTAGCAAAGTCTTTGGCAGTCATGAGATAATAGGGTACAAATGCATGCATTGTGGTAAACAGGGGGTAAACGGTGGCCGCCGTCTCCCGGTTCGGACAGTTCGCCAAACACTGTATTCAAAATCAAATAAAAAGCACATATAAATAGATGTATATTAATAATATTATGGTAAATAAAACCGATTAAAATTACCTTCTCATAAAAATACAAAGCGTTGTAAAAGTAATTGACACACTTCTTGTACTGCCAGCCACTGAAACCACTTTTGGCCATAAGTGCAACCATAGTGTCCGGATCGCGGGCACCCGTATTGTCTCTCGATATCTCTATCAATCGTTTGACCGCCCGGTAGTCGCCGGCAGCAAATCGTACGCAAGTCACACATACGGTGCCAACACATGCCGTGTATGTAATGTATGGCATGTTTGGGGAGCTGTCGGTTGTGGCAAAATCGTATGGATTGAGTTCAACGTCCAGATAGTTAATGGGCGCCGAGCGGTGAGAGCCCGGCGCTAATGGCTCAGGAATAGGTGTATCCGTATGTATAGGTATGACCGCAGGGGGTGCTGGCGCTATACTGGACTCAATTGGATGCTCTGGTTGTGATTTAACGGATCCCTCCACCCCCTCATCGCCTAGACTATTACTAACACCAGTGCCGGTACGGGTGGACAGCCCTAGCGTTTGTTTCACATAATAGCCGGCGTTTGTAATAATGTTATCAAAACAATAACGCACTGTATGTGCGGTCAGGTCTATGGCAGGGGTTTGAGGTGAAGGTAGAGCGCTGTCATCCCTGTCCGCGACTTTAATGTCATTCTCGGCGTTAAACTCTTTGATAATATTTTCGGGCATTTTTT